GACTGTCTCACTTGGTGAAGTGTCAAGTGATGTGCTACCAGTGGAGTATGGTGTCGTCCAGGGATCGAATCTTGGCCCTGTTCTATTCCTCATTTACATCAATAATATTTCTAAAATTCAAACAAATGGAAAATTAATTTTATTTGCTGATGATACTTTATTATTCGTAACTGGAACATCCTGGGAGGAGGTGAAAAACAAGGCAGAATCAGACCTATTTTTACTTAAAAAATGGCTTGACCAAAATATATTATCTCTCAACATATCAAAAACTAAATTCATGCCGATCTCATTACGTAAGTCTACCGAATACAAACTTGAAAACCTAACAATTCATGTCTGTGGAAGTCATTTCAACAACTTGTGTTTTTGCAGCGAAATTGAAAGAGTTGACTCATATAAATACCTTGGTATTGTTTTTGATTCAAGGATGAAGTGGTCGGAACATGTTGAATATCTAAAAAATAAACTACGTAAATACATTTATGCATTCAGACAACTTAGTGATGTTCTCGAAGAGCGAGAAATTAAAATTGCTTACTACGCATACGTTCAATCATTGTTATCATTTGGAATTATTGCTTTTGGTGGTGCTTACAAAACTATCTTGCAGCCTCTTTTTGTAATGCAGAAAACAATTTTAAAAGTTGCTTTTAAAAAACATTTTAGATATTCAACTGACGACCTATTTGCAGAATTAGGAGTTTTGACAGTTAGGCAGTTGTTTTTGAAATTTATTTTAGTACACATGTACAACAATTTTGATAATATTTTTGAAAAAACTACTCATTCGCACAACACGCGCTTCTCTCAAAACGTTGGTATATTTGTTCCACAGACTGTAAAATCATTTTCACACACAAACTGCTTTCATTTAACCCAAATTATCTATCGTAAGTTGTGTGATAAATACCAGAATTTTGAAATTTTAAATTCACCATCTCTCTCTTTGTTTAAAAGACATGTAGTAACGTGGCTTGTAGGACTGAGTTCAGAGGATACCGAGGCTGTTATCGCGTCGGGCTGACCTGACCGTTGACCCTACACTACAACATACAATCACTGATACACCACCCCAATGACTAACTAATACACAACCCGCCACTCCTCTCCGCTCAACCTATCACTCAACCTATCACTTGATTTTTGAGAAGCACTTAGTTTCAGAGAAATATCGTTGTCCAGTTCCAAGCAAGACAACATTTATTTTCAGACGTGATAACAATCACAAAATAAAAAATTCCCATTCACTAAACAAATTACCCGCAACTCATGTCTACGCACAGGCCCTGCCTATGTAGACACATTTCCATTTAAGTTGATAAGGTATTTTATTTTTTTTATCTCTTTGTGCCATTAGTTATAATATTATTTTGTAAGTATTTTTAAGACAAGGATTAGGCTAAGTAATTTATTCTGTAAAATACCATGAATTGTACTTTTTTTAGTTGGGAAATAAACATCATTTCATTTCATTTCATTTCATTTCATTTCAATCATTTCATTTCATTTCATTTCATTTCATTTCATTTCACTTGACACCTGGAGCAAGGTGAGTGCTCATGAAATTATATCTATGGTGAAAAACTTCAAAACTTCTAAAAGCCAAGATGTATTTGGGATGTCTTGTAATGTATTGAAATCAGTTATTGAGATTATAGCACCCCCACTTGCTAAAATTATAAATGCATGTCTTGAGGTAGGTGTTTTTCCAGACATACTCAAAACGGCCCGTACAATACCTGTTTTCAAGAAAGGAGATTCCTCACTTGTATCAAACTACCGCCCAATCTCAATACTTCCGGTATTCTCTAAGATCTTTGAGACCGTAATTCAAGTTCAACTTGTATCCTATCTAGAGCACAACCACCCGCTGATTGATGCACAGCATGGCTTTAGGAGGGGTAGATCAACTACCAGTGCTTTACTCAGCCTTATGAACACTATAATTGATGCATTTGAACATAAGTCTTCAGTCTTGCTAAGTCTATGCGACTTAAGCAAGGCGTTTGATGTGGTGTCACATGATGTGCTTATTTCTAAAATGACAAAATATGGAGTTGGTGGTACAGCTCTAAGGACAGTTTCTAGCTATCTTGCCAATAGAAAACAGCTGGTTTCGGTAAATGGGGCCTCGTCCAGTATTAAAAGTTTAACCCACGGGGTACCGCAGGGTTCGGTGCTTGGACCGCTGCTATTCTCGATCATGATTAATGACCTTTGGCTTAATGGCTCTACATTGCTCTTTGCAGATGACACCACGCTCATATCCAGAGGGGGCGATATTCCACGGTTACGGACTGAAGCCCAAGATCTCCTTGAACAGGCCAAAGTGTGGTTCAATATGAACAAACTAAAGCTTAATGACGAGAAAACCAAGTCGATTTTGTGTACTCTGAAGACGGACGCAAGGGAGGAAAGTGCTGTTAAGCTATTGGGTTTTTGGATTGACCCGAAGTTAACCTGGAATCACCATATATCTCAGGTATGTGTCAAGCTGTCTAGAGTGTGCCATCTTCTCAGAGAGCTCAAATCTGTGTTGACTAAGTCACATTTGGTAACTGCCTACCACGCGCTCTTTCACAGCCACCTTGTGTATGGGATTGTGGTCTGGGGACATTCTACAGATACTGAGGACCTACTACTTCTTCAGAAGAGGGCAGTTAGGATTGTGTCCAATTCTGGCCATTTGGACCACTGTAGGCCGTTATTTATTGACTTGAAGATCCTCACCGTCTTCAGTCAGTACATCTACAGCATCTTAACTATGCTAAGAGTAAACCTCGAAGAATTTAGAAAAAGAGGGAGTCACCATGACCACGGTACCCGCAGAGCTGGTGATTTGGACATACCCCGATGTCGTCTTGGTATGACACAGCGAGCCTATCCTCAGTCAGCCCTGAAGATTTTTAATGCTCTACCGGATGAGGTGAAGAACCTGAACCCGAAGGCTTTTAAGAAAAGACTGAAGGATTGCTTAGTGAAAAGGCCGCTCTACTCTCTTCAAGAGTTACAAGATGGGTCTCTATTTGAGCAATAAAAAGCCTCAACACACTTCTGACGCAGTCTATCCAATTTTCATTGGTCAACGACGAAGACGACAAGTATTACAAGTAAGTATTACGTAAATCTTCTCTTGTAAAATTCAGTTTTAAAAATCTTTGTACAACTAAAGATCTACAGTTATACTCTATTAATCAATGGGTCATTAGAAAGCTCACTTCCTAAACATGTTTTCTATCAGAAATACTGTACATTGAAAACGGTGTTTGTGTTTACACATTTTTTATTTAGAGCCATTATAGGCCTATTGCGTATTTTCAAGAAATGCATTAGCCTATAGTAATTTGTAGCAAATTTAATTTTCTTTCAGAATATATAACCATCTTTCACTTTGGTCGACTTTGCTATGCTGCATTGTATGCTGGTGGCGCTGCCTACGAATTGACAGGCAAAGCTCTCTCCGAGTAGGAAGGTGTTGTACTTTGGACAGCTATATGTACCTTGGACCTATACTCATTTTAGCACTATCTGTTAAGTAAAGGGAGAACTTTTACCATTAGTTAATGCTTTTGCTACCAGAGGTCTATCTAGAGATGGGAATTATCGTTGTTTTCCGGCAACGGTTATAACCATAACGCAGCTGCCCAATAACGTGTTGCGGCAACCTGTTACTTCAATAACGATTGCCAACTCGTTGCCGCTGTAAACCGTTGTCCGCCGGTCGGTGTTGCGGCGTTCAGTTATCGTTGTCGGTTGATCAGTTCAGTTTTCAGTTGTAGTCGCGAGTCGGACGTTGCCGCGTTGTCCAGACAGGATGCGTTATTCTAATTCTAGTTCGTTTCAGAAGTTATTTTTATTGTCAGTTTACGCTGTGTTTTAAGTGGTTATCAACAAACTGTCCGCAAAGACCATTACGAGGGAAATAAATATGCAATATGCATACGTTTGATGTTGGGAGAGGGGGTGGTTAAGCAATGTCTGCTCCAGAGTGCTCCAAAGCTTGCTACGCCACTGAGTTATATGATCGTGGTCACGGACCTTGCGCAATTGTATGGTTGATTCATCGCTTGTTCACAGAGATCACAATTTGTCGCATACATATGGCAGATGAGCTGATCTTCACTCAAGGGAATTATGGCCGCCTGTCTTGTGTAAAGCTTCTCGACACGATGGGCCAAGCTCTGCATGTAGCAGGAATTCTGCTCCGGCGTTTTCTGACCGACGATGGTGTGGTTTTAAGCTAATGTCTGCTTTGTTAGGTAGGCTGCTCTTTACAAGAGTGCAGAAGGAGTTGGCTTCATGGCGTTGATATGCACTTTTCTGCTAGGTATGGGATGTAGCGTAGACTCAAAATCTGCCGCTATAATTATTTGTACTTCTATTTGCGTTTCATAATTTTTGAAGCTTAGTTGATTTTTATCAGAATCAGGGAGCTTCCCCGCTACCTCGCTGGGCTTTGCTCTCACACAAAGTAGCAGATGTTCATCCAGCCATCCTTCTGGACAAGGCTTACATCGTGTGCTTTCTATTTAAGTCTATTTAAGTCGAAAACTGTTTGCAAATTGTTATCTTATTAGAATTCTTGCAGCTTCATTAGTTTGATAAAATCTGTTATCAACACATAGTGACTTATTTTTGACTATTAGAACTTCAAAGTGATCCGGTTGTTCCTTAACAATACGTAATGACAAAATGTGACCCCTTAACCCCATTCGCACACACGTTGACGGATGTGTTTTCGTTTTTTGCTTTGAAGGTTTTCACTTCACTTATTCTGGTAGGGAAGGAGAAAGTTGTAAGTGTCACAGAAGACATTAAACAAGTTTTTTTTCTTGTGATTTTGTACAGTCTGTTTAAAGGAACAAATATCTACTTACATAGCCTACATTTTCAAACCATGCATTTGGCTTCTTACTGAGTCAATAGTGTTTCTTGCGATATCTCACCTATCACATGTAAAGTAAAATACAAATTTATAACATTAAATAAATACTAACTAGATAAGATCCTGTTCTTCCTGATGGGCAGACTGGTCTTTTATTTGCAGTTTTTGTCTTTATAAGTGGAGACAAAATTCCTTGTTAACTATCTAAATCATTGTGCCGAAGTACCATTTGGCCTGGAAGCAGAGGAAAAACAATCTGAAAACAATTAAACTTTAATTAGTTACAGGAACTTTGAGAGTTAAAAGATAGCTTATGTATTGCCATTCAAACAGAAGCCAATTGATATTGGTTCTTAAGAGTTCTGAATATGAATTTACCTGGTCATAATGAACATAAGCATTAACTGATCCTCTGAGTGCCATTTAAAGTTACCGGTAAGTTTAACCTTGCCCAATTCTTTGTAGATTTCTCTTTAGAGAGGCTACGGTAAGTAGGGAACCATAGCCGCCATCGTAAGATAGAAGTTTAGAACTACAAGTTTATTTTTCATTGTTAGCAGACAAAAAAACCAATTTATTGTAGCCTATATTGTATTGTAGGTAAATATGGTACTGTATGGTAACTTAATTTAAAGTGACATGTTTCTGTAGGCACAGTAAAACTCATAAAAATTTTCGATTAGGCTAGCAAATTTTTCATATGGGGAAATAAGCTGTTACCGTAGGTCTCATGGAAAGACCTGTGACACCCGGGACTGAATTAATTAAACTTATTTAGGCTATGTTTATATTTTTTTAATGTGTCCCTTAGCGCAATAGCTAGAGTAAATATGATTAATTTTTATAAAATGTTTAGAAATGTGTAAACCCGCGAATAAAGTTTATTCATAGCCTATATGTTTATTCAAACGAGTTCAAAAACTAGCATTATTGGACAATGGGGGGAGGGTTGTAAGAGGGGATTTAAAGTGTTAGCAAAATGGGAGTGCCGATGGAGACCAGGTCAAGTCCCTTTAAACGCACGCATCCCCACAGGTCTCCATCGGCACTCCCGTTTTGCTAACACCATAGAGGTATAAATTTATTTTTACCATTTTTGACCTGTCATCTAAACATACAATTTTGCAATTTCTTTCCAAAATATTTTTACAGCTTAGGCCTAAGAAAAGTTTTGTACAAAGCGCTTTTTCCAAAGGTTAACTTGCAGATCAAATTTCAAAATAGGAAAAAATTTTTAATTAAAAATGTTATTCTCATGGAGAATAAATTTAAAAACTATTGTAGTTTGCTTGTTTGAATATTATAATCCAATTGATTTAGAGAAGTTGGTTATTGTATTACGTTATCAAAATTACAATAAAAAACTGAGCTTATTAGGTTACCTTCCCTGTAGCGGTATACATTAAAATAATATTTTATTAGTATGGTATTTTAAGTTATAGGAAATAAATCTGGCAATATTAAGGGAATAAATCTGACAATTTTAAGGGAATGTTTTAGGGAAAGTCAAGTCAGGTAAATGGAAAGTTGTTAAGTCAGTAAGTTTGCCGTACTGGGGGTATTTTTATAAGTTTAAATTCGTAACCAAACAACCATCATGTTAAACACCTATCACACCATGCACTACATTTCTTAGAGGTGGGCATACTTCCATCACCAACTTCGCTATGGATAACTGATCGGCGTGAAACTGGCAATAGATTAGCAATAACTCACTCCACTTCTCCTACTTCCCCTCCGACGAATATGCGTCACAGTAAAACGTCATAACAATGATGGCGTCACAGCAGCATTCGTCATAGAGCCGACGACATAACCTCCAAAATATCAAGTGGCGGGAACTTTTTTTTGGCGGCACACGGCCAAGATGGCGTTCGGTTGTTCCCGCCAACCGTTGAGTATAGCAAGTGTCTTTAATATATGTAAACAACTGCATAAATGAATTAATGTTAAGGAGTTGTAAACAAAGTAAACGCCTAAAGCCTATCCTAGCACCATAGACTAACAATCACAAGAAGACTTCTCATCCCACTGTAAATTTTGAAGCTCGTTTTTCGTATCTAGTTCATGTACGTGACACATGGGCGCTAGTGTCGACGAAACTTTGTTTCTATTATTTTAGGGTTAATTTCTTGATTTGTGCTTTACTGTTTGGTTATATAACTTGGGCACAGGTTATTGTTTATGATTAGATCGTATTATTTAGTTAAACGAGGCTTTAAATGGCTGTAATAACGGGAAACAAATTGTAAACAAAACAGGACCTCAAGAAAATAAGAAATTGCCATAAATTTATATTGCTGGCCTATTCGGTTGGTACGATTTTCTGTTTTTCATTTGAAATATGTTTATTACATTGTTATGAACTGGAAAACACTTCGTTTATGTTCTAATAATTATTTATAGTTGAGATAGGTGACTTATAATTAAACTGGTGTGACCTCGGTTCCATAAGAACCCAACTTACTAAAAATCTTGTTTTTTCGTTTTTACATGTTTGTTACTTCTTAATGAACAATATCTAACGCCTTTTCGAAAAAATTATCAGTTATTATCAATTAAATGCATTATTTAAATTTTGCCTCAAGAAAATAAAAAATTACCATAAATTTCTATTGCTGGCCTATCCCGTTGGTACGATTTTCTTTATACTTTCAAATTATGTTTATTACATCATTACGAACTAGAAAACATGTCGCTTATGCTCGGCCACTTATTAATAGTTAAGATAGGTCATCTTGAATTGAACTGGTGTGACCTCGGTTCCATAAGAACCCAACTTACTAAAAATCAACATTTTACGTTTATACATGTTAGTTACACCTTAATAAACAATATTTAACACCACTGCGATAAATAAAATAATTATTTATCAATTTAATGCATTATTTAAAATCTGCCTCAATAGAACAATAAATCACCATAAATTTCTATTGCTGGCCTTTCCCGTTGGTACGATTTTCTTTATACTTTCAAATTATGTTTATTACATCATTACGAACTAGAAAACACGTCGCTTATGCTCGGCCACTTATTAATAGTTGAGATAGGTCATCTTGAATAGAACTGGTGTGACCTCGGTTCCATAAGAACCCAACTTACTAAACATCATTATTTTTCGTTTATACATGTTAGTTACTCCTTTATTAACAATACCTACCACCATTTAGATAAAAGTATAAGTATTTATCAATTAATTGCATTATTAACAATTTACCTCGAGAAAATAAAAAATTACCATAAATTTCTATTGCTGGCCTATCCCGTTGGTACGATTTTCTTTATACTTTCAAATTATGTTTATTACATCATTACGAACTAGAAAACACGTCGCTTATGCTCGGCCACTCATTAATAGTTGAGATAGGTCATCTTGAATTGAACTGGTGTGACCTCGGTTCCATAAGAACCTAACTTACTAAAAATCAACTTTTTTCGTTTATACATGTTAGTTACACCTTAATAAACAATATTTAACACCACTGCGAAAAATAAAATAATTATTTATCAATTTAATGCATTATTTAAAATCTGCCTCAATAGAACAATAAATTACCATAAATTTCTATTGCTGGCCTTTCCCGTTGGTACGATTTTCTTTATACTTTCAAATTATGTTTATTACATCATTACGAACTAGAAAACACGTCGCTTATGCTCGGCCACTTATTAATAGTTGAGATAGGTCATCTTGAATAGAACTGGTGTGACCTCGGTTCCATAAGAACCCAACTTACTAAAAATCAACTTTTTTCGTTTATACATGTTAGTTACACCTTAATAAACAATATTTAACACCACTGCGATAAATAAAATAATTATTTATCAATTTAATGCATTATTTAAAATCTGCCTCAATAGAACAATAAATTTCTATTGCTGGCCTTTCCCGCTGGTACGATTTTCTTTATACTTTCAAATTATGTTTATTACATCATTAAGAACTAGAAAACACGTCGCTTATGCTCGGCCACTCATTAATAGTTGAGATAGGTCATCTTGAATTGAACTGGTGTGACCTCGGTTCCATAAGAACCTAACTTACTAAAAATCAACTTTTTTCGTTTATACATGTTAGTTACACCTTAATAAACAATATTTAACACCACTGCGATAAATAAAATAATTATTTATAAATTTAATGCATTATTTAAAATCTGCCTCAATAGAACAATAAATTTCTATTGCTGGCCTTTCCCGTTGGTACGATTTTCTTTATACTTTCAAATTATGTTTATTACATCATTACGAACTAGAAAACACGTCGCTTATGCTCGGCCACTCATTAATAGTTGAGATAGGTCATCTTGAATTGAACTGGTGTGACCTCGGTTCCATAAGAACCCAACTTACTAAAAATCAACTTTTTACGTTTATACATGTTAGTTACACCTTAATAAACAATATTTAACACCACTGCGATAAATAAAATAATTATTTATCAATTTAATGCATTATTTAAAATCTGCCTCAATAGAACAATAAATCACCATAAATTTCTATTGCTGGCCTTTCCCGTTGGTACGATTTTCTTTATACTTTCAAATTATGTTTATTACATCATTACGAACTAGAAAACACGTCGCTTATGCTCGGCCACTCATTAATAGTTGAGATAGGTCATCTTGAATTGAACTGGTGTGACCTCGGTTCCATAAGAACCCAACTTACTAAAAATCAACTTTTTACGTTTATACATGTTAGTTACACCTTAATAAACAATATTTAACACCACTGCGATAAATAAAATAATTATTTATCAATTTAATGCATTATTTAAAATCTGCCTCAATAGAACAATAAATCACCATAAATTTCTATTGCTGGCCTTTCCCGTTGGTACGATTTTCTTTATACTTTCAAATTATGTTTATTACATCATTACGAACTAGAAAACACGTCGCTTATGCTCGGCCACTCATTAATAGTTGAGATAGGTCATCTTGAATTGAACTGGTGTGACCTCGGTTCCATAAGAACCCAACTTACTAAAAATCAACTTTTTACGTTTATACATGTTAGTTACACCTTAATAAACAATTTTTAACACCACTGTGATAAATAAAATAATTATTTATCAATTTAATGCATTATTTAAAATCTGCCTCAATAGAACAATAAATCACCATAAATTTCTATTGCTGGCCTTTCCCGTTGGTACGATTTTCTTTATACTTTCAAATTATGTTTATTACATCATTACGAACTAGAAAACACGTCGCTTATGCTCGGCCACTCATTAATAGTTGAGATAGGTCATCTTGAATTGAACTGGTGTGACCTCGGTTCCATAAGAACCTAACTTACTAAAAATCAACTTTTTTCGTTTATACATGTTAGTTACACCTTAATAAACAATATTTAACACCACTGCGATAAATAAAATAATTATTTATCAATTTAATGCATTATTTAAAATCTGCCTCAATAGAACAATAAATTTCTATTGCTGGCCTTTCCCGTTTGGTACGATTTTCTTTATACTTTCAAATTATGTTTATTACATCATTACGAACTAGAAAACACGTCGCTTATGCTCGGCCACTCATTAATAGTTGAGATAGGTCATCTTGAATTGAACTGGTGTGACCTCGGTTCCATAAGAACCTAACTTACTAAAAATCAACTTTTTCGTTTATACATGTTAGTTACACCTTAATAAACAATACCTAACACTACTTCGATAAATAAAATAATTATTTATCAATTTAATGCATTATTTAAAATCTGCCTCAATAGAACAATAAATCACCATAAATTTCTATTGCTGGCCTTTCCCGTTGGTACGATTTTCTTTATACTTTCAAATTATGTTTATTACATCATTACGAACTAGAAAACACGTCGCTTATGCTCGGCCACTCATTAATAGTTGAGATAGGTCATCTTGAATAGAACTGGTGTGACCTCGGTTCCATAAGAACCCAACTTACTAAACATCATTATTTTTCGTTTATACATGTTAGTTACTCCTTTATTAACAATACCTACCACCATTTAGATAAAAGTATAAGTATTTATCAATTAATACACCTGATACATTCCAAGTTACCTATCTCAACTATAAATGAGTGGACGAACATAAGTAACGGGTTTTCTAGTTCGTAATGATGTAATAAACATAATTTGAAAGTATAAAGAAAATCGTACCAACGGGAAAGGCCAGCAATAGAAATTTATGGTGATTTATTGTTCTATTGAGGCAGATTTTAAATAATGCATTAAATTGATAAATAATTATTTTATTTATCGCAGTGGTGTTAAATATTGTTTATTAAGGTGTAACTAACATGTATAAACGAAAAAAGTTGATTTTTAGTAGGTTGGGTTCTTATGGAACCGAGGTCACACCAGTTCTATTCAAGATGACCTATCTCAACTATTAATAAGTGGCCGAGCATAAGCGACGTGTTTTCTAGTTCGTAATGATGTAATAAACATAATTTGAAAGTATAAAGAAAATCGTACCAACGGGAAAGGCCAGCAATAGAAATTTATGGTGATTTATTGTTCTATTGGGCAGATTTTAAATAATGCATTAAATTGATAAATACTTATACTTTTATCTAAATGGTGTTAGGTATTGTTTATTAATGTGTAACTAACATGTATAAACGAAAAAGTTGATTTTTAGTAAGTTAGGTTCTTATGGAACCAAGGTCACACCAGTTCAATTCAAGATGACCTATCTCAACTATTAATGAGTGGCCGAGCATAAGCGACGTGTTTTCTAGTTCGTAATGATGTAATAAACATAATTTGAAAGTATAAAGAAAATCGTACCAACGGGAAAGGCCAGCAATAGAAATTTATGGTAATTTATTGTTCAATTGAGGCAGATTTTAAATAATGCATTAAATTGATAAATAATTATTTTATTTTTCGCAGTGGTGTTAAATATTGTTTATTAAGGTGTAACTAACATGTATAAACGAAAAAAGTTGATTTTTAGTAAGTTAGGTTCTTATGGAACCGAGGTCACACCAGTTCAATTCAAGATGACCTATCTCAACTATCAATGAGTGGCCGAGCATAAGCGACGTGTTTTCTAGTTCGTAATGATGTAATAAACATAATTTGAAAGTATAAAGAAAATCGTACCAACGGGATAGGCCAGCAATAGAAATTTATGGTAATTTATTGTTCAATTGAGGCAGATTTTAAATAATGCATTAAATTGATAAATAATTATTTTATTTTTCGCAGTGGTGTTAAATATTGTTTATTAAGGTGTAACTAACATGTATAAACGTAAAATGTTGATTTTTAGTAAGTTAGGTTCTTATGGAACCGAGGTCACACCAGTTCTATTCAAGATGACCTATCTCAACTATTAATGAGTGGCCGAGCATAAGCGACGTGTTTTCTAGTTCGTAATGATGTAATAAACATAATTTGAAAGTATAAAGAAAATCGTACCAGCGGGAAAGGCCAGCAATATAAATTTATTGTTCTATTGAGGCAGATTTTAAATAATGCATTAAATTGATAAATAATTATTTTATTTATCGCAGTGGTGTTAAATATTGTTTATTAAGGTGTAACTAACATGTATAAACGAAAAAAGTTGATTTTTAGTAAGTTAGGTTCTTATGGAACCGAGGTCACACCAGTTCTATTCAAGATGACCTATCTCAACTATTAATGAGTGGCCGAGCATAAGCGACGTGTTTTCTAGTTCGTAATGATGTAATAAACATATTTCAAAAGAAAAACAGAAAATCGTACCAACGGGATAGGCCAGCAATAGAAATTTATGGTAATTTATTGTTCTATTGAGGCAGATTTTAAATAATGCATTAAATTGATAAATAATTATTTTATTTATCGAAGTGGTGTTAGGTTTTGTTTATTAAGGTGTAACTAACATGTATAAACGAAAAAAGTTGATTTTTAGTAAGTTAGGTTCTTATGGAACCGAGGTCACACCAGTTCTATTCAAGATGACCTATCTCAACTATTAATGAGTGGCCGAGCATAAGCGACGTGTTTTTTAGTTCGTAATGATGTAATCAACATATTTCAAAAGAAAAACAGAAAATCGTACCAACGGGATAGGCCAGCAATAGAAATTTATGGTAATTTAATATTTTATTGAGGCAAAATTTAAATAATGCATTAAATTGATAAATCATGATTTTTTAATCGAAATTTCGTTAGGTATAGTTTATTAAGAAGTAACTTAACGTGTATAAACGAAAAAACCGATTTTTAGGATGTTGGGTTCTTATGGAACCGTGGTTACTCCAACGCCATTCACGGTGACATATTTCAACTTTTAACTAGTCAGGGTATACAAACGTTGTTATTTCTAGTTCATAACAATGTAATCAACATATTTCAATAGAAGTAAATAAGATCGCTGTAAAGGGTAGGCCAGCTATAGAATACATATTGTAATATTTTTACACATTTCAACTAACTAACAATACGAGTGTACAAATAATTATAACTTACTATAAGGTATAGTGATAGAATAGGCTTTAAGCTTTTACTTTGTTTACAACTCCATGGAAACACTCATTCATTTATGCAGTTTTTTACATATATTTTGGACCCATAATATAATCAACGGTTGGCGGGAACAACCCAACGCCATCTTGTGGCCGTGTTTCGCCGAAAAAAGTTCCCGCCACTTGATATTTTGGAGGTTATGTCGTCTACTCTATGACGAATCCTGCTGTGACGCCATCATTGTTGTGACGCTTTACTGTGACGTAAATTTGTCGGAGGGGAAGTAGGAGAAGTGGAGTGAGTTATTGCCAATCTATTGCCAGTTTCACGCTGATGGATAACTGTACATTCCTAATGAAGCTTTGTTCTCGATATTTTAAATAAGCTATAAAACACATAGGATACATGTCCGGTAACCGGACGTGGATTAGGCGTCCGGCAGTACAGTAACGTCACCGGGTTGTGGGGGCCCGGTATGCCATTACCACAACGATACAATGTACAGTCATCGGAGTTCGTGTTGTAGTGGATAAAGTGCTCGGCTAATATGCAAGAGGTTCCTGGTTCAAATCCCATCGGTAACTTTGACTTATTGTCAAAGATTTTGCTTTGAATGCCATTTCTTCTTAACTGTAGCTACATCTTTTGTTAGAATTTTTTACATTTATTATTTTATTGTATGAACAGAATTTAACCTTCATTCGATTTTTCTATTATCAGCAAGTTTGGTTGGTTAGGTTAGGTTATGACAGTAACTGCCGGATGCCTAATCCACGTCCGGTTACCGGACGCGTATCCTCTGCGATTATAAAATGAAACTGTAACCTAAACTAGGCCTAACCAAACTTGCTGATAGTGAAAAAATTGCAGGAAGGATTAAGTTACCAATCGAATTTACAGTTTCAATGGAATATTAGCATAGCGCAGTTAAAAAACTGTACCCTATTTCCTGGTGTTTTTTTGTATTTAATTATTTTCAAATCAACAAGCCAGCCACCACAAAACTCGAATTCCGTTGACTGATCATGGTTATCAACGACTCGGCCTAAGTTACAAATACAATGGTGTAATGAGAACAAGGCTTACAGACACTACATAATAAATAATAAAACTTATTGGTGATTTTACCTACTTGTTTATAGTTTAAACTGCTCTAAGTTTAAACATTCCACTAATAGTTCGTGCAGTAGTTGGCCAAGTCCATAGTTGTACGACTACACTGTCAGTTAAGATAGAGCCTATTTGATTAGCCTACCTACACACAAACCAACTGTGGAAACACCATTTCAACTAATTTCTCTTTAGGTGCCTTCTAAAGTTCTAAAGGAAGCCTATCATTACTTTTCATATTGTTTGAATTTTTAAATGTTAAAAATGTCGGCTGTCCTTGTCGTCAGCCGGAGCCGGTCTTCTCTTCAACTTCTTGCTTGTCTTCGTCTTGTTTGTTGTTCTTCCTTCAATCTTTGTATTGTCTCGTTTTTGTTTGTTATGTTGTTATTACTTATTATTTACAAATAAACTTCTTTTACTTCTTTTTGACATAAAAGGCATTGTCTTGGATGCCAGTGATACCACTGATGACTGATGCCAGTTACGCACAGCATTATATGTTTTATCTATGGCATTATTTGAATTATGGCCCTAGTATTACGGTATTACGCGTATTACGTTATTACCATGACGTATTGGATTTAGAAAACATACTGTAATTCAGAAGTCAATTAATATAAGCATTAAGCTTTTATTGCGAAACCCATAAAATTATGTTTAATAATAAATAAATAAAAAGGTCTTTATTTATGACAAACTGGTAATCAATTTGTATAATTATTGTAAAATAATAAATAGCTATTTAAAAAAAATAGATAATAGTGGGGTTTTACTCCTTTAAAAGCAAACAATGAATAAGGAAATACATCCCGCATTTTTGAAACGAGAAGAGGAATAAAAGTTCCATGTTCCATGACATTTAGGCTCTTATTAGACGAGGCAGCCAAGTTGCGCAACCAGCCGGGCAGCCAGTCGCCCGTCTGGCTGCCTAGCGTAGCAACCAGTAGAGCAACCAGTAGAGCAGCCACAGGGCAGCCACAAAATTACCAACTAGGCCAGTCTCTTGTTGACAGTGGAACAGTGTTGGTGGAACAGTTCTGTTGGGGAGAGACGCTGTCAGAATGCGAGATGAATATTTGCTTCTTCTGCTACTCATGAAAAAGAGAAGATGAAGGAAGAGAAGAATGCATATACATCCTATTCTTTCATCAAGAACAGAAAAAGGATTATATTACACCAATTACACAATTATATTACAAGAATACTGAGGAAAACAACACACACTGATGTGACCGGCAGAGATGAACGCACTTCCACGAGTGATTATCTACTACTGATGTGTGTGGCAGAGGGCGACTGGCTGCCCAGTGTAATAAGATCCGTAAGCTACAAAGGAGCGCGACCAGACCGAGCAGCCAGTGGTTGCCTGTGCGGTCGCCGGGCTCGGCAACCAGCCGGCAGCCAAACAGTGGCTGCGCAACTGGCCGCCCTCGTGTAATAAGCTCCATAAGAACCAATGCCCAGTGACTAGCTGGCCGACTGGCTGCCCGGCTGGCTGCGCAACTTGGCTGCCTCGTCTAATAAGGGCCTTAGTCAAACCATTGACTAACCAACACATTTTACCTATGAGTTGGTTGAGCCTACTGTAAAGAAAAAAATAACCATCACAAAAATAAATTCGTGGTTCAACAAACTGCGTAGCTGCATAGCCTGGGCAGAGGTGGCCTAACCTAATTAGGAGAATATTGAAAAAAAGGGGTTTTCAAGATTGAGGTTATGTTGATTTTTGTTGTTGACGGACCGACCCGAAGGACCGGAGCAAGACAAGATAGCCTAAGTTTAGAGAGGTTATGTGTTGTGTAGATAGTGTTACTCCTCCCATTTTTTTAAATAAGTAAAGTGGTTAAGGTATTCTGCAAAAGAAAGCTAGAGAGATGATACGTCCAAATTCACCCAGTAGTATGAGCCTTACAAAGTTACAAATTGTGCCTTGGTTCAGCAAGTATGTCTTTTTCAAATTTTAGCCTCTTTGGCTGCACTTTACTTGACGTCCTACACTCATTCGAATGAAAATATCGATCGATATATCGATTAATCGATTGCTTCATTCGATATATCGTTTGGTTAGTTAGGTAAGGTTAACCTAACCTAACTAACCAAACGATATATCGAATGAAACAATCGAATGAAAATATCGAATCGAAAAAACAATCGAATGAGTGTAGGACGTCAAGTAAAGTGCAGCCGCCTCTTTCTCCAAAATTAAGTTTAACTTATGTTGATGTAGATAATAGGCACAAGAGCTAATGTCATTCTCAGTTACAAACATTTTGGTTTGGTATAGGGGTTTTTATTACAACTTCCTTCAAATTTAGGCCTAGGCCTACCCAGGATCTAGACTTATCAGTTTCTGTATCCCAAATAGGTCCAACCAAAGATGGACCTAACTTAGCAAATCATTATTCAACCTGCGGGCTTCCTTTTGTTAAACTAAAATCCCAATTTTAAACCTCATCTACCTACGTGATTAAATGGGTTAAGTTAGTGTAGGTATTTTGTAGCCTACTCCAAACATTTGCCTATAAGTACCGGTAGGTGACCTAAATAAAGTTTTCTATGTTTAAGCCCTTAGAGCTTGCGCCTATCGCTATAACTTAACAGGAGAGCTCAAGCAGGCTAATTATTTTCCCAACAAGCAATTCAGCTGGAACACTTTACAATCATTTACTAGGTAGATAATAATCTACTTACATACGCCATATTAAAGGTGTCAAGGCTGATTAATTTATTTGTAAACATACAGGAAGTACTAGAGACGTAAGTTATCGTTGGTTCACAGCAACGCAACGGCAAAGCTTTTCGCCCGCCAATAACAGGTTGCTGCATCTTGTTATTTCAGCAACCTTGCCGAGAATTTGTTTCTCAGAGTCCATTGTTGACGGCCGTTGCGTCCCAGCAATAGTTTTTTTTTTTTTGTTTTTTTTTTTTTTTTTTTTTTTTGACGTTGTTAAGCATTGTCTTGTTTGTTATTTCAAATTGTTAAGATTGCATGGAATCGATCAAATTAATTTTTAAATGTGTAGTTAACAAGTATTTTACGAAGTAATTGTATAGTGTTTTATATTTTTACTTACGGTATTTAATTTCCAGGGAAGAGTGGCTGGATACGTATAGTAATGCTTATTCTTCCAGTTTTCACTTACGAGAGAAAGCATACACTCAGATGTGCATTTGGAAAGCTAGGTAAGCATTAAATTATTTCTGGAATTACGACCCCTGGCTTTCTTGTATGTTCTGTGATCTGTTAGAACACAAGACATGCAATGTAGGCATGAACATAACTTATATGATTAGGTTCGGCTTAGTTCATCATGAACCATGATGAGTCTAATGGGATTCACTCTTGTCACTTCCATCCCAGGTAGATAGAGGCGTAACGTAATACATTATCATGACAGTGACCAATATATCTTAAATGAACACCACACTATCTTTTAACATTCAGTTGATATACAATGCTTTGTTACCATTGATTATCTCTTAGGAATCTCTTTTGATTTAAGTGATCAATTATTTGAGATGGGGACGCCACGACGTCACCTAGGTGTGTATTTTAATCCAGATATGAGTGAAGGATGAGTATAGAATTTTGTGAGATGGTTAGCTTTGTTACTGAACTAAGATCAGCTGGTTTATTAGGATCATTTATTTAAAGCCCAATGATCAGGAACAGCTGGGTCCGGTTTCAAATGATCAAAAAGCTACCGGTACTGTCTTTTCTCAGGATCGAACAGGCGACCTTACTTTGATTGACCATCAGGTCTGCTATCAATCGTTATTATCAAAAATTTAGATTTTCCCTGGAATAAAATATTAAAATATTCATCTACATACTACTAAACTTTGTTCTCAGAGGTAAAAAAACAAGAATGTTTTTAGTATTGATGACTTTTTGTATTAAATGGTTCTTTTGTTAAAAGTTTTTTAACCTATTACAGTCTAACCTTGATATAACGAACCTCAATATAACGAATTCCTTGATATAACGAATTTTTTTTAATCCCCTAGAACTCTCCATAAGACACAATGTATATTTTACCTCTACATAACGAACAAACCATAACAACGACCTCGATTTAACGAATTTTTCGTGATTTCGGCTAAAATAAGACACCTCAATATAACGAATTTATCATTGTCAGAACCTCTACATTGCGAATTTAACCTCTGCATAACGAATTGTCTACGTCTTTCCCTTGATATAACAAATCCCCCACCCCAGTATTGTTTTTGGAAAATCTGTTTCTTTATCAAATGAAATGGAAATGTGACGTCATCGCTTGCGCTAACATTCGTCTGCTCCGTTTTACACATATCTCTGTCTGCTGTCGCTGCGCACGCTATGTTGCAACTGAGAACTGATTTCATTCACTGAGGACTGATGACGACGTAATCTGTAGTAAGCTGTGATTGGGTGATAAGTAAATATGGTGAATTGTACAAATTTTGGATAAAGAGAAATCTAAGAAAGAATATAAAAACAAAAGCAAAGAGAAAGAATAGCAACATCGTTATTTTACCATTCCTTATTTATTGTTTTCAATACGATTTGTTTCAAACTAGCAACACCAATGCTATAATTAATGATTATTATTGACATTCCTCTGTTGTCTCTGTTGTGATAAATCAGTACTGTACTGTAAGTAGCCTACCGGCCTATCACGGAGCAGTCAGTAGCTTACAAAACTTTCTACTGTTTTGTTTTGTTTTTTACATGGTTTATGACTACGCAATGTAGTGTTTGGCTAGGTTTTAGGAGGGTTAGAAACAGGCTGTGATTTTAAACTTACAGTTTTTAACCTGTACCAAGGTTAATGCCATTGTCATGATTGTGCAATATTCAAAATCCCTCACCTTTATTATGCCGGATAATTTAGTTTCTACCATTGACTATTGGATACAGAAGGTTCTCCTGTACAATGAACACTGTACTGTAAAGTATTGTAGCCTATGCTACTTTAATTGTGTTATAATGAGGTGAAATCCCGGCCTATATTGACCGACGCTGGTTCTGAACCTCGACTTAGCGAAATTCCTGCAAACCTAACCTCTATATAACAAACCTCATTTTAACGAAATCCTTGATATAACGAATATTCAGTTCGGTCCCTTCAGATTCGTTATACTGAGGTTGGCCTGTATTAAATGTTTTTTAATGCTGCAGGTAACATGTTAAACGTTCTTTTTAGCTTCATTTCTGATGTTACAATAAAAAATTGTAAATTTATTTCAATCCTCAACAAACGTTTACAGGTTTCCCAACTTGCCAATGGGAGTGGAATGTACCATGAGCACTTTGCATGTTAAGCTGTGTGACAAACCTGAAGACAACACTTACCAAGACAGGGACCTCCAACTACTATACTCAACAGCAGTAATGAGGTAATTTGAAATTATAACAATCTATTAGCTTTAACTGTGATTCGTAATGGGGTGTGAACCATAAAGGTTTTATGAAGTCGTTTAAGTCTGCTTCAGATGAATTGACGCTAGTATGGATTACCATTCAATTCAATTCAATTCAAACTTCTTTATTCATTATTTTGTACAATATATACATTGAATAGTGTCAGGTTGTACAACAACTCAAACTAGCCTAAGTGACAATCTCATCCACTCTATGCAGGAGACTGTAAAGTTACACAGAGTCTACAGTTAAACTTGAAAACATCAAGGGACCAGTTTATAAATTTGAACCATCCAAATATTTGAATTACTATAGATAAGTTTACTACAGTAGACTCCCTCTTATCCGGACACCTTTTAAACGGACTACACTCGGCAGAAATTACATCTCTTTAACCAGAAGATTTTTATCATCGCATCGGTTTAACTGGACTAGATTGGCAGGAAGTGGGCGGTATTGAAACAACTGTTCTAAATCACATGTCTAAATACAATGCTCTCCTAAATTTAAAACAAATACTTTATATTGTGTGCATTTAAACGGTCCGTTTCAACGAGTTTTTGGGGACGTCGGTTTAACCGGAAAACCCGTTAACCGGACTGGCCTCGGTCCCGAAGAGTCCGGATAAGAGGGACGCTACTGTACCTAATAAAGGGTTTGAAAATTGCAAATATATTCTTTCATTTGCACAACTATTGTGCTGGGAATACTGTGATTCACCAAACTTAAGGGTTTATTAGTATAATCTATACTTTTTTACTACAGCGCAGATGAATGTTTACAGATTTTGCGTAAACATCAGCTGATAGACAGCGTTGTACAAAATCGGGGTTGGCAGGTAGAGAGGAGTTCTATAACAAAACTGTGAAAGTTACCAATGTTAAGGGTGGTAGGGTAGAAAACAATACCTGGGCTAAGTTTTGTAGTGTGCATTATTTAGCAGTATTGCAAGACCATACAAAATGGTTCAATTCCCGTTTTTTTGCACATTGATTATTCAATGGTCAACAATTGAATAGTTTAACGTTATATTCAAATTACCCATTATATTTTTACATCATAGTACCCTTAGGTCAAGGAAATTAGAGAATCCATTTAATTTTATAAGTTTTTGAACTAGGGAAATTTTTTATGAACTAGGCCCACATCCCTCTTTATTTTAATCGATAATGATATTTCATTTATGCTGATCACTTGTACCTTGGATTTATTCAAATGTATACTTAGTTTTACATAACCTATATTATTTGTTTCAATGAGAGTTGTAGTAGTAAAATAACGTAAGGTTTTATTGTGCTGTGGTATGTTTAGGTTCCTTAATCAGCTGACAGTGTTGTCTGATCGCAAAGACTCTATGTACAAGATGGCAGAGCTGTATCAGCTGCCTGATTGGATCATCAACTTAAGACACGAGGCTGCACACGGCAACTCAGTGCCTGCCTTGTACTTACTGCGACAAGCTGCAGATATCATTCTGCAGTGGCTGGAAGTCAGTAAAACAATCACTAAGTCTGCTAGAATCAATAATAAGAAACACAAGGTTCATAGTTCCCAAACCCATGAGATGTTTTGTCATTTTTTATTAATTTACTATATAATACGATGTATCAAAAGTTAAAGCATTGGAAAACCCCCAGAAGAGGGACTCTCATTAAAAGTCTTAGTACTGGACTTATGGGGATTTAGATCGGAAAATTACAGGAGCAGAAATAGATTTGATCATATCATTATAACAACATTCAAAAAAATTAATTACATCTGGGGGTTTTAATTGGCTAATTATAAAATGTGTCTGTTTATGATATTGTTTTAATGATTAAACCCAATCAACCTCAACTGAGCAAGGCTCGGTCCCCCGGTACTTATTCTTAAAGGCATTACCTCTTTGGTATATTTAATCCGTTTATGAAGAGCAAATGTATTGTAAGTTGCAATACATTTTCAGGAAAATTATTGGAAAGTGGAAGAAGAAGTCATGAAAGATGTTATCAAGAACCCAGAACAGGATAAAATAAGGATTTGTTCAAATATAAAAAATGTATTAGACTTATGGGTGACTTTGAAAACACAATACTGGTCAGAATTGAGAACTATTGATCAAATTGGGGATGCAAATATAAGGTAAGTTAAATGTGTTTTATATTTTTTTTATGGAATCCATAATCATTAGACGTATTGGGTTTACATTAGTGTCTAACATTGATCGATTAATTGATTGGCTATGTCTAATTTTAAACTAAGACTGGCAGGAATGATTGGTTGCAAATCGACCAATTCAAGTCATTTTTGTGTACAAACTTTGAGTAGCATATTTTAGTGTCAAATCATACATATGGTGTTGATTTCCTTCTTGTTTGTTTAACCGATAAACATTTGTATTAAATTATTGAAGACCTTGAGTAAAAAGGTTGTGACAGAGATGATTTACAATCAAATAAAATGACTAACAAATAACAATTAAGATTTTGGATGGATAGGATTCCACTTTAAGTTCAAGGCGGGATATTTTATTTGCTTTTTATTTTTGGGAAGGGAGTTTTCTTCCCATGCAACAATAGTTTAAAAAATCTTACTACCTATAAATTTCTCAAATGGCAGTAATTTCAAAAAAAGTCTCTCGTGATACAGGGACATCATTATCGAACTGCCTTGACTTCAATGTAACCCTGCTTGATGTTTGAGAATATTTACTTCAAAAAATTTCCCAACATTTTGAGACCCATTTGTGATGATGTGGAGTAGTATGAGTGTAAATGAAGATACCTGGGCCCTATATATCTTCCTCTAGCCACTGCCAAATCACCCACATTTCCTGTCGTAACCCAACTCTATTGCAAGAATTAATCTAACTCGTCAAAGTGCACAATATTACCTTAGCTGCCTATCACAGCCAGCTTTTATGTTCATAATGTATCTAATTATAATATAATGAACAGAGAAATATATATATATGGACTTATTCTAATTCGTGAAAAAGGTTACTAGACTTAGCAAATGTGAATTCTAATTTACGATATTAATTGCCAGACCACGACCCTTCGAGAACCTAATAAACTACATGATTGAATTACTTTTTGCCCCAACCTACACCCTTTCCCCAACCCCTACTTCTATTAGCTAGACATCTTAGGCTACAGTCTACTTATCCGATCAGATGTACAGCTCCAGGCGCTCGACACTACACTGAACTCGTCTCTTGGTTCGCTGCGCGTGCCTACCCGGGTCGACTGCGCGCGCATCGTGGTCACGTGACTTGCGCTATTGTAGCGGTCCGCTACATCCTCCCCCCGGTGGGGTTGTTTTTTTTTCTTTTCCTAGTTTTGGGGTGATTTTGGGGTTTGGGAAAGATGAAGGACGAAGAAATTTTTTTTTTTTTTTTTTTTTTTTTTTTTTTTTTTTTTTTTTTTTTGTGCTCGCCGTGAGATTGTGTCGTTGTGACATCGGTGTCGGTGTGGGAATGTTCCAACAGTTTTCTGCACTCCTTTTGGTTTGACTCATTTGAGGTTATAATGTGTGTCGGTCTTGCTTATAAACTATTAACTATTTTTTTTTTTCTAAACTAAAGGTGACTATGGTTTTGAATGAATTTCTTATAACTATGTTTGGTGGGATTGCTTAATCTAAACCTGCTCTAAAAAAATGTGGGCGGGCGTATATCAGTGATAGATTTAATTAAGTTCGGTTGAGAAAGATCTGTTGGTTGATGAAGTTGGATATATGATTGATGATGATGAGTTTGGGAATGTTGTCGAAATAGTGAGGGTTGATGAAATTTGATGGTTGTATTGAATTCTGGTAATTGCTGGTAAATTTGGAAGGTTGCTGAAGTTTGATGAGTTTCTTGAAGTTGAGTATTTGGAAGAATGAAGTTGTGTAAACTGAAGAATGAAGCTGGAGTAGTGTTCTGAAGTTCTTGAAGGTATACTGTTGTGATGTGATGTGACGTAATTTCGTAATTAGCTCTTGAGCCCTTACTAAATTCGGGGCGCTAATTATATCGCTGGACGCCTCTTAATGGTGGATGAAATGCGTTGGGTTCTGAAGTTGATATGAGGTTGATGATACGTTTACTCAGATGTGAATTTGGAGATTGTTTTGATTGATGATTAATTATTTTGATGTTAGTTATCACTGATATATTCCCTAAATATTCGGTAAAAATTGATCGCGACTACTCTACTTAAGTTTACTATTGATACTTATGATCTAAATGAATTTACTAATAATAAGAAATTGTTCTACTTAATTTAAAAAAGGAATTTAATTTACTGAGTATAAAAGGGAAAAAATCTAATGTTTATCTACTTAAATGCTATGGATTTGATTGACTGGGAGATATATTACTAAGTTTCTGTTGATTTACTAATAATAAATTAATTAACTAGTGTGACACACATTATACACTCTTTCAGTTTCGATGCTATTCATGGTTGAATGGAGTTTCGAAAATCTGTTGGTTGATGTAAGGAATGATAGTGTTATTGTAAGTGTATATTCATTCGAAGCTCCTCTAGTGCCAATTATCAAGAATTATGCACAGAGGTATTAAATAATAATTATTTATTTCACCGACGGCTTAGCACAATTTAATTTTTTAAACAAATATTGTTTTAATATTTTCCTTCAATGTGAAGGATTGATCGGTGCTTGGTTTGATTATTTATATAGGGCGGAAGTAGAGGTTTGAATGGAACAGATGTTTGTACTGATAACGACGGTGTTATCTCGTGCCTGGCGCTTGCTATTGTCTGTTTCCTACTAGTCCATTTCCTTCTCTGTCGCTCAGCAACATAAATATATTTATCTATATTTTTGTATTTTATTTTAACGCATGCAAGTGTATAACACATAATAAACATTTAAATTACCCTTTATAAATATATAATACATAAACTCTTCTTCTACGCTCAGAATTCTGCTTGTTATTTACAAACATATGGATTGTCGTGTGCGCTGTTATCTACTTTGATAACGATTGTATTACGCCTAAATACCATATATCTTATTTTAATATACGTGGATGACTTTACTTACTTAATACTTTTTATGTAATGTTGTATTTACCTTTGCGATTCAATTGCTTATATTAACACAGAAATACTTAATTTTACTTAATTCTACTTAGTTCTACTTAGCCTAATTGCCATAGTTTAAGTCTAGCTTGGTCTGTAGTCAGTTGTCTGTATCGTTCCAGTGTTGTCATTTTTCAGTCCAGTACTTTTAGTGAGTGTTTGTTGTCATAAGTAAACTGTCGGCTGCACTATTCATATGACAGTTGCAATCTGTCATAAGAATGTGTTATGGCGAACGATTCCCGTCATAGCCAATTTGAGCAAATTAAAAATAAAAAATTACTTAAAAAAAATTAGTCGTTTGCTCAGATTGTAAGTTTTAAGGGGATTGAAAAAGTTGTTGATTACTGGGGTCTGGAAATGCATATATTAAGTACAAACACTATGACGTGTTTCGCTGCCAACTTGCCACGTGTTGTCGCTTCCGGCTTTCCGGCCAAGCGGTGCATCGAGAGGTGTAGCCGCACCCTCTGTGAAGGTACGGCTTAGACTCAACTCCCAACACCCTATCAGCCGGGGCCGGAGTTGTATTGTGTACCGTATTGTTGAGAAGTATTGTTGCGAAGTATTGTTGTAGTCAGTTACTCGAGATTTCTTGCTAGATGTTCACTTATAACTAATTAAACTAGGCTAAGGTTCTATTGTGCACTCTGACGACGTTTATTTAATAAATTGGTTGAAAAAATCGTTTCAATTGTGAAATGTGGGCTTTTGTCACAATCTTACCTGTTGAGGGGTTTACCAGCTTTACTGACACTGGTGATGAGAAACTGTCAATCACGCACGGTTTTGACCAGGCGTATTGGAGTTTATAATTGACGTTGTCTATTGCTTTGGACTGTGGGTGCATTTTATACATTACCCAATCGCCTACTTTGTAAGGATTGGGTTGACGACCGCTGTTATAATATTGTGTGCGTTTTTCTCTTGCCTTCCGTAGGTTATCAAGTGCATGTTGCCAGCGATTGTCTGTGGTTGGTTGAGGTTCTTCCCCAATTAATTTATTTAAATCCCAGGCTAATTGTAGTGGATGGTTTATTTCTCTCCCCAAAAATAAGCTTGCAGGTGTCGAACCGGTGCTTTCATGTTGAGCGGAATTGAATGCTATTTGAAACCAATGAATGTTTTGATCCCATGTTTGGTTGTCGGAATTGTGATATATTCTCATAGCAACTTTGAGATTTTTGTTGACTCTCTCTACGTTGTTTGCGCTTGGGTTGTACGGTGATGTAAATATGTGTTTGATTCCGAAGTTTAAACACATTTCCTTCATTTGTTTTGATTTGAAAGATGGTGCGTTGTCTGATACTAAGTATTGCGGGAAACCGTAGTGTGAGAATATGTGTTTTGTGAGAAGTGTAGTTGTGGTGGCAGCTGTCGCGTTTCTAGCTGGTAAAAGAATTACAAACTTTGAAAATGCGTCCACCACAGATAGTAGGTATGAGTTGCCTGACTTTGTCCTAGGAAGTTTGCCTACGTAGTCAATGTTCACTTTTTGGAATGGTTTTGTTGCTAGATCGGATGATAATTCGCCTACCCTGGTGTTCGGAGCTTGTTTGGATCTTTGGCAAGAGAGACATGTTCTGACTTTGTCGGCTATTATTTTGTTTAAATTTGGTGACCAAAAAAATTGATTTATTTTATGTATAGTTTTCTTGATTCCTAGGTGTGCTGATGTAGGTGCTAAATGGTAGTATGTGAAAATCATGTCAATTAGTTTCGTGGGGAGTACTATTCGTGGTGTCTTTTGGCCGGGTGCTAAATGCATTAACACTCCGTCCTTTACTGTATATGCCTGGTTTCTATGTGGGTCCCTAATAATTTTGATCAACGTGGGGTCGTCTCTTTGATGTTCGTCGATGTTTTTGAAAGCTTCTGGAATTTTCATCAAAATGTTTACTGAATGTGTATTAGTGTCATCGTTTAGTGTTACTACTGTTGGTTGTGTGTCGGCGTCCTCGTATAACCTAGATAGACAGTCGGCGACTGGATTATCACTGCCTTTTATGTGCTCAGAATGAAATTGGAAAGAGTTAATGAATGTTATCCATCGCGCAATTTTACCTACTTGTCGTGGATGATTTAGAAGCCAAGTTAATGCTGAACAATCTGTTTGAAGTGTAAACTCCCTGTGTTCGAGGTATTGTTGGAATTTTGTCAATCCGAACACGACTGCTAGGCATTCTAATTCAACTGTGGATTTGTTTACTTCGTGTTTGCTTAGTGGTCTCGACGCGTAGGCTACTGGTAATAAACTACCTTCGTGTTCCTGTGCTAATTGCGCTCCTAGTCCTGTGCCTGAACCATCTGTTTGTAGGATGAATTTTTTATTGAAATCTGGGAGTCTTAAAACTGGTTGCGACGTTAGAGCTTTTTTAATACTTTGCAAGGCGGCTTCCTGTTCAGAGCCCCATTCAAATGGTGTATCTTTGCGTTTGAGTTTGTTTAATGGTGCCGAAATGTGTGAAAAATTCGGTATGAACCTCGCGTAATACGCTGTCATCCCGATTAGCCTAGAAATCTGTTTGACATTTTTGGGGGTTGGGAAGTTAAGAATTGGTTGAATTTTTTGTGTGTCAAA